CGCGGTTACAATTTTTGTACCACCTCGATTCTTTTTAGCACAGCTCCTTCGAAAATTCTCCACAACTATTAGGTGGGACCAAAAGTACGTTCGCCACTTTTTCAAAGAATCATAATTTCCTTTCGACTCGATGGATCTCTTTGCGTTTATATTCGTCTATGAGAGGAAATCATTCTCTTTACAACGGTATCTCTGCCATGAATTGGCATAAAAAAGTTTTAAAGTTAGAAGCAATTGAAGAAAATTACTCAAAATTGGCTTTTTCAAGCAAGGTTACCAAAAAAATCTAATAGTATTTTTCGATAGAAAAAATTATGTTCTTTACTATAGCGCCTTATCCAAAAACAAAAAAGATTGAGAATTAGAAGCAAATAAAGAGAACTGTTATTTTAGTTTTGCAATTTTTGAGCACGCTCAAAAATGCCCAAAAATGTCACAGAAAAGACGGGATATTCATGAACATGGGTTTGTGACCTCCTTCTAGCTGAGAGAAATTCGTGCCAATCGAATCCAATTTTGATTTTCATAGAAAATCATATCCGAAAATCGTTAATATTACGATCAAAATCGCTCTCGATTGGCACGAATTTCTCTCAACTAAAAAGAGAAGGTTACTAAACCCATGTTTACATGAATTTTCCGTCCCTCCCGACGCAAAACTGAAGCAATTTTCTTTATTTGCTTCTAATTCTCAATCCTTTTTGTTTTTGGAAAAGGCACTATATTAAAGAGCATAGCTTTCTCTATTGAAAAATACTTTCAGAATTTTTTGGTGACCCTGCTTGAAAAATGACAATTTTGAGTAACTTTCTTCAGTTGCTTCTAACTTTCAAACTTTTTTATGCCAATTTATGGCAAAAGCACTGCTGTAAAGAGAGTGATTTCTTCTCTTAGATGAATATAAACGCAAAGAGATCCATCGAGTTGGAAGAAAGTTATGATTTTTTGAAAAACTGGCGAACGTACTTTCGGCCCCACCTAATTTAAATCTGAAAATTTTTGAAAATATTTCAACATTTACCAAGAGTTTGTAGATCATTTTGAAATTTTGGTGACCCATTCCCCCCCCCCTTGTTTTTATATATTTCTACCTAATCACTTCTGCTTTATTTATATCCAATGCATATTTTCTACAAAGTAATAGTTTTAAATTACTTGCATTAGCATTTCAATCAAAGCACATAAAGCAAAGAAGTTCGACATGCCTGAACAAGGGCGTTGTGCTTAGACGAAATCCCTAGGTTGAGTCCTTTTCCAGCATTCCAGCAGCTTGGTGATGGTTGTTCACACACTTGCACCGATGCCTGAAAGAATACTTAGAATATGGATGAGTATAGGTTTACTTACGCCAACATTGAAAAAAGAAAGAAAAAAGAGAAAGATTGGAGGAGGAACAGAAGCGAAACAATATGGAAGAAAGGAGTGCGCTATGCGCTGTTGAGGTTGCGTTCGCTATTTCGCAATCGCGAATGCATGCGCTCTCAAAGTCCTGCGGAAATGCTGGCAGGTCAAAGTGCTGCGGAAACCTTACGAGCCTTACTGCACTTTCGCAGCGCTTTATGGAAAGTGCTGCGGAAGTTCCGGTTTACGATCGCTGTGACGTCAATTTCCTGCGGAAACCTCGCATTTTGTAGCGTGCACTTTCTCAATGGTTAAGAAAGTGCTGCGGAAACGCTGCAAGTTCTGCTTGTCCTGCGGAAGTTCCGGTGAATTGTCTGAGTCAGTGACTTTCACGGATTTCTACTTGTGGCATTGAGTAATGTATCTGCCCCCACCCCCACCCCCGCAGTCCCCCGGGATGTCACTTTGACACCGGAGAGTTTTTGATAGGCACAAAATTGGGGATTGTCGCCTTCCGCACCACACTCAAGTTAAACTAACAATAAGTTCCAGCACAGTGCTGGGACCGCGCCTAAACTACGCTGCACACGCTGATGCCTGCAGGCGCATCGCGGGGCAAAATTTTAGATTTGAACCGTTTCCAACGGTTTCCCTCACAAATTTTACTCAGTTGACCTCATTTCTCTGCCTCCCTTTCCACTTGTGGTGAAAATAGTTAGAAAAGAGCGGGGTTAAAAAATTAATGCAGTTAAGCTTCCAGTACTCGTGGGAGATAGGTCTTCATGAGCACCTTCCTTCCTCTCTATTTATGTTTGAACTACTTTTGAGTTTCAGAACCCTGTCTCTCGCTTCAAAATCCATGATTTTCTGACATGTCGTCGATAACGGCGTCCACAATTCCAGGTGCAAAAATGTATACAGCTGAATGACGACGGACATTCCCCTTATATCCGTTGCAAAGTGCGACGAGATGTGCCTGGGTGATCTTCTGAAGATTACCTCAAGCAATCAGTGAGTGACCTGTAGAGCTTGACGTTTCTGCAGTGTCGACCTAAGTCTCAGCTGCGCAACAGAGAGCTGGGAGAATGTAGGTCGAAAAAGTGGGCTTGAAGCTCCGGATACGTCAGTTGGTCGGTGGCTCCCTCTGGAGGCCTGTAAGCGGCCCAGACTGCCCTTTCGTGTTAACTTCTCCCCTCAGGTCGTTCCCCACATTTATCGAAAATCCAATATACACGTAAGAAGGTGTACATAATGTGGGTGCCTTCCAATTTCATTTCCACATACTCGCAAAAAGCATTCTTTATGAACTGAGTCTTTTTCCAACTTATCCGCAGCCCAGTTTTCTTCCCCACTTCTTTGAGTTTCCAGCATCCATTCTGCTTTAGTGATACTGCTCGAAAATAAAACGATCTCGTCCGCAAAACGAAGGTTCGACAGGAATCTCCCACTCGTACGCCTCTCTCGTCCTAGTCCAGTGATTTCATCACTCACTGCAGAGCGCGGTGAACACCTTCGGTGAGATTATATCGCCTTGTCGAACCCTCTTGCCAGTTGGGATGGTCACTGGGCGATGGAATAGCTGCATCGTCGTTGTACAGTCCTTGTAGCAGTCAGCTGACGTCCTCACATAAGCTCGGTCCATTAGATCGACTAGCACTGACAGGGTTGGTTTCGATCCTGTCAAGGGGTTTCTAGTAGTTGACAGAGGTTAGGTCGAGAGGCAATCGATCCCAGTAGACTTCTATGGGCGAAACATTTGCATGTGGTCCATATAGCTAAAACTTTGCGAAATCCAGCTCTTGTAGGCTTCATCCTACAATCCGCCCCAATCTCAACCAGGCCAAAATTGGCATGGCGGGAGTCCGCTTTGCCAGGGTTTCGCAATCACGCCCACAGCCTGCTTCTCTACTCTCTCTTCATTCCTTTTGATCTCTCCGACAGCGCGCATATGCAGCACAGACCACTAGCGCTGCGAGCGCGCAAATTTACGCCGACGATTCGGTCTGATCCGTTTGGAACAAACTGTAGATAGGGATATGGCATATCTAGGACAAAGGTTCCATCCTTTGTTCTAGATATGCCAGTGAGGATGATCATGGAAAGCGTATAACAAATTCAGCAGGCTTGAAGGCATTGTCCAGGGCAGCTGAGGGCTAGTAAAATTTCGACCCAGTGCGCGAGCACGGCTCCTGACTGATGCAGCAGTTCAACTCCCACCGAAAAAGGTGGATTCTGAAGCGAGAAATTCGCTTCAGAAAATAGCAGAAAAAGGGGTCTATATGCTGATCCCGCCTCCTTGGCAGATCTTGAAGTGGCGAATGCTGTAGATCTACTGTATTAACCACGTCAAAATTTGGCAAGGAGGCAGGATAATGTACCGCCCCTTTTTTCCGAAGCGATTTTCTCGCTTGAATCCACCTTTTTCGATCGGACTTGAACTGTTGCATAACATGGGCCCTGCTCCGCACCACGTCAAAATCCCGCCACCCTCCAACTGACCTGGACAATGCCTTTAAGGTACTTCTAAGTTCGACCATTCTCATCTTGAAGGAAAAGATGATTCTTGAGGTTCTCCACTGGTCGGGAAGCCTTCCTGGAGATAAGATGTTTTATACGATGAGAGGCTCGTGTGGACGGTGAGTCCGTCCACAGAAGCTCAGTGGAAAAGTGATGCTAAAGCCGTGACGTGAACGGTTAGATCGCGGTTCTTGTGTGGTGGTATTTCATTAATGGGAACAATTGAGCTTCAGCACCTGCGTTAAAGGCAGTACATCGGCAGAATGAGACCCATGACAAAACAAGGTCACAGAGTAGGAGCCCCCATATGGAATCTATCGGCCAAAGTCCGACCATTCTCTGCCACTTCTAACTCCCGAAATTTCAAAGCGAAAGCAGCGCTCAACTCCTGTCCTCTCCGAACCCGCCCACCCCATGGACGAGTGACTTCCGCGGCCAGAGCGCCAGCCGCAATGCTATAAGCATGAGGTCCCGCAACGACTCTGCGTCTTCACCATGACGGGCTTCGCGTTCACTCGTCCACGGGGTGGGCGGGTTCGGAGAGGATAGGAAATGAGCGCTGCTTTCGCTTTGTAATTTCGGGGGTTAGAAGTGGCAGAGAAAGATCGGACTTTGGTCGATAGGTTCCATATGGGCGCTCCTACCCTGTGACCTTGTTTTGTCACGGGTCTCATTCTGCCGATGTACTGCCTTTAAAGAGCATAAGAGGTAAGTGCGGAAGTTTCTCGCGATGAAATTTTCTACTAAGGAAACAAGTCAGGCTTCACTAGACAGTAGCGCTGCCAGCGGTACCTGATTTTCGCAGAGGTCCCTCCGGGACTTTTTGAAATTTCGTCTTCTTTCGGCTGCTTCCAGTATGTGGAAGGCGTGGCCGGAGTTCGGCCTACCTCATCCGTAGCAATTTTCTCGCTCCAAAATTCACCTTCAGCCAGAACTGCGTTACTCCCTTGAAGGGGCCTTTGCTAAAGCACCGCGCTGAAATTTCACCATATCCGAGTGTACCTGGAGATGCCTTTGACCGTGATCATATAAAGAAAAGGAACATTTGCAGTAACATTTTATTGACTGTGTACAGCAAATAATTAGAATAGCAGTGAAATGTCATCTACAATCAGCACCCAGGTGAACGGCAGATCCGCTACGGCAAATAAATAATTTAGTGAGAGAAACACCAGTGGCAATTGTCAACGCGATAAGCCACACACCAGAAGTTTATGAAATTTGGCTTTGCTCCCTATTTCGGCTGCACGGCTATGAGGAAGGTGAAAAACGGTTCTGAAAAAGGATAGGTGATATAGAGGAAGAAAAGACAAAAAAGTTTCGCGACTTGGCGCAGGTTCAAACAGCAAGATCTTTTCCCGAGTAAATAAGCTGGCGTTAGCCAAGCCTAGCGAAGAATTTTTGTTATGCTTTTCAAAATCTTAGCATTAACCCTGGAAAAAGCTCTTTTACAGAGCTGATTTTTACTTTCGAATAATTCTGGAAAATTATTGTAATCGCTTACGATCAAAAACAAAGTTCAATAAATCTTAGAGGTCTTTTTCTGGAATCGAGCAAAATATGCATTTCAACTATGAAACAAAGGTTTTGACTGCTCTATTCACGGATAGAAACACCAGTGTTGCACAAATTTTTCAAATTTCTATCGACGTTTCAAAAAGATGGAAGATCATGCGAAAAACACAAAAACGGGAGATTCACCCTTGCATCTCATGCTCAACAAATGGGAACCCGCGGTACCAAACCTGCACCAAGAATTTAGGACAGCGATTGCTTAACAATTTTCGACCATATGTTTCGAGATGATTTTTCAGCACAGTCGTCCAGCAGATACGGAAAGCAAAGTGACACCGCCTTCAAATGAAACTTCTGTTATGCGTCTTACACGGTAGCCATTTGCAACATTGGACAACACTTGTGCTATGGAAGTGAGCATTAAGATGCTGTAAGGAATGAACATCAGCTTGAGGGGCAGACTTCATCAACTGTTAATGAGAAAGTGACGAAAGAAGATGAGATTTGCTTGGTACAAACTTATGGGCAGACAAAAGATTAAGCAGTGACTCAGCATTTGGCTAGAATAGCTTTGGCTTCTTGCATTCGTTCACGGTCTTCATCATCATTCGGCGTAAGAGTAAGCATTTTATTGCAGTATTTCTCAGTATTTTCCTGCAAACACTTCATAGATTAATGGCAAGTACAATTGTAATTTTCAACCTTATCGTTCTTTTCCGAGTAAATTCGTATTATAAAGAGCAGATTCTTGATCCATTCCGGTGATTGTTCATATGCAGCTAAGAAATCTTCCAATGCTTCTTCTACGGTAGCATTGGGTGGCGTAGAATAGAGCATAGCTGCGGCCTAGAAACTTACAGTTCAACTAAGTATCCAGCAACAGGGAAGACCACAAGTTCACTAAGGTTCGGAAAAAATTTTCGGATATTACGCTGAACAAATATTTGGCTGTTGATTGATCAAAATTCGGCTTTTCGAATATTAGGAATTTTGAACACCCAACTTTTTAAATAATATTCAACTTATTCAACTTGTTAAGTGAATGTCGAGTGATTTTTCAAATGGCTAAGTACAAACTGATGAGAATCGGTGACTATTCGACTTTTGAATAATATTCAAATGAAAAGTTCAATAATCAACTTCTCACATAACTCGCATTGGACTGTATTATATAAATGTCAAACACTTATTCCATTCGTCCCTAAACAGAAAGCTTACCCTTCTTTCAAACCATGATAGATTAGCAACAGCGTATGAATATCGTCCTCGCATGTACAAAAGCGAAAAGTCTTTGTCATTCATGATGATAGCCTCATCCAAAAGTTGCTGGAAAAATACCGATAGAAAAAGAGTGAAAGAAAATCTGCTTCGAACCTTGAATTTTGCGCCTTCTTCAATCTTCTCTTTTGTGGGAAGAAAATCTGTCGCTGCTCCAGTCATGATTGCTGCCCATTTTAGAGCGTCAAAATCGTCCGGATTCTCTCGATGTCCCTCCAAAGCGTAGCTTCTCCCTCAAATAGACAGAAGCTTTGGGAGGAAATTATGTACTGCAAAAATATCTTCGCCAACTATAAAATGAACAAACCTTCGAAAGTCAAACTCTTCTTCACCTCTTTATCGACGGAACGAGAGGCCAATTCTTGTGAAAACTTAGCAAGCCTCCAAAGCAAATTAGATGACTTGTCACCGCCTTCATAACGCTAGAAGTATAGTAGACTAGAAGTATGAAGTGGTTTAGAAGTCACGAAAAAAATTGAGAACTTTCTGATAAATCATACGTTTTTCAAAATGCTATATCCTTGTCGTATGTTCTCTGTACCATACATCTGATCGATATCTTCGTATGACTAAAATTGTATTCTTAAGTGGAGTATTCTTCTAGAAATCCTATGTTTCTACGTTTTTTAGCAACAATGAGTTTTGTCCACTCACTCATATAGCACCTTACTGGCATAAAGCCGCCAGAACTTCACGCCATCTATTGATTCTAAAGGTGGCGCTTACTCAAAAAGCGTTTGCAGGATCCTCGTCAGGAGGCACACCAAGTAAGCCAAACACGTGCGGGATACTCCGATTTCATGACTTCAAAAAGAAGAACTCGGTGTTTAATTAGGCTTTTGACACATAGCGTTACGTTTCATAAACTTTCATGGTACATTTGGGGAAAGCTATAAGCTGCACTTCAATTCCTGTCACTTGAAACATGACAAACCAAACCATGGAACTCACCATAGGTGTTAGGGGAATAGGCGGTTGACCATCTCCGAAGTCGTTTTCCCTGCAAAGTAGTGGTTAAAGATGATTTTCTCCCAACGTAAACTTGCTGCTTGCTCCTTTTGACAACTTTTGAAAGACATCAGTAACATAAATATTATGTACTCTAACGATTGAGAATGCACTATCATTCAAATCATTGCGAAGTAAATTCAAAATATCAAAAGACAACAGTAATCTAAAGAGCCCTCTATCATAAGAATGGTGTCAGAGTCTGATGAATTACTTCTATCGCCCATCAAGCGATTCAGTAATCCGATGACACCAGCTTACCAGTCTTCCTCAGCATCTGCATATTCGCCATCAGACGTTAATGACTGATAACTCTTTACCCGTCCATACAGCCGATTGAGCCTAGATGAGATCGAGGTGTCTCCTCCTCCACCTGCAACAATCCAATTCTAATATAAAAAACTTTTTAGAAGTAATCCCACCCTCTTCGCGAAACCGTGTGCGATTATTCGAAGCACTTCGTGAGAGACCACTGTTTCCTGCTCGTAGATCCGCTATTTCTCTACGCAGTGCTTGCACTTCAGAGCTAAACAATGACTGCAAAAGCATGCTAAAACTGTAAAATAGGCCTACCTTAGAGTTTCTAAAACCCGTGTGACGTGCTCGTTTTGTATTTTTACTGAACGCAGATGCCTTGCGCACACGTACGCAGCAGCTCCAACTCCAGCTACGCCGGCGGTGATGGCAAGGCCGCTAGCAATACGAGTTAATCGATCCTCCATGATAATGGTCCTAAAAGTTTCCTACAAGAAACAGTGAGGGATCGACGAACAAAGTAACGCACCAAAAGCACATTAGGAACGTATAGGAAAGCTTCACATGCAAACAAAGATTGCAAACACCCGAGTAATAGTTTACTCATGATCGAAGAAAAAATTGGCATAATCAAAAATTTGGGTGGAAGTTTTTGGTAGACACAATTCAGATTAGAAATCCGCAAGTAGTCTATATGACGTGATAAACGAAATCACCAGATTTTACTGAGAATCACAGTTAGAGAATATAACAAGAGCAACTTGGAGAATTTTCCGACAACACGAACGCTTATCAGTATAAGAGCGTGCTATGGCATCAACGATCTCTGTAAACAACAAAAACTACCAAGGATGGCAAGACGATAGGAAGCAAAACAAATGCAGTCGTAATGAGGTAAAGACAAGGGGAATCAAAAGCCCTTTGTTCGTATCAATGCCCTAATGAGCAGGTTCCACTGTACTGCTCACTGCTTGGTCGCCGTCCAGTTTCATCTTCTTTATCTCTTGCTCATTTTCAGCTCTTGCCGCTAGCTAAAATGCTTTCTAACATCTTGACGCAAGATACAATTCAACTGAAAATAAAGGCCAGAAAAAAAAAGCCAGTAAAAGCACGACTATTCCGACACTCCCAACTATTCATGTTACGATAGCACAAACCTCTGCATCTCCAATTTCGAGTGCCTTCTTTGCCATAGCTAGAGCTCCTTCAAATGTCTTATTACCTCCGATAAACCCTAAATGCCACAAAACGAAGAAATTGGCAGAAAACATGGAATTTCAGATGTACCTGTCATGTGTACAAACACACATCCGTCAATGCCACAGAGGTTAGAAAGCTCTTCGTCACGTAAACCTCTCCAGATTTTTGGCAACGGTAACCTGAAGTATCTGCTTGATTATATAAATTCCTTTAGAAGATCGACTTGAAAGATTAGAACAATTTATCTGTTTCAAAGCCTTCGCTCCTATCAAAGGATTCCGCAAAATTACAAAAAACAATTTCGTATTTTGTAGTAAAAAATAATAAATGTTGAAGACAAGAATTACTTAACAATCAAAGCGCACCTGTTGTCGAATGTAGATAAACTATTGTTTGGGATCGCCTGTACCCGATATGTACCCGACGAGCTGTCTGAAAATTCTACTTTTTTTCGTGTAGCTGAAGAAGAGGAGAAGATTAATTTACGACATACCTTCATAGATCATGTAAGTCATTCTTCGAGATGCTAAACCCTTTTCTTCCTCCAACTGGAAAAAATGTTCTTTCCATGGGACTCCGCCAGATGACAGATGAACGATTCTACCACTGATATCCACCTGCATGGAGCTTACATGCGAATCCCAGAAAGCTTAGCATGTGTGTACCTGCGGTGCTTCGTCTATTGCCTTTTCTACAATCTCGCGAGCGGGCCACCACACATTCGCCAGATAATTGACGCTACTTTCGAACTCTCCTGCAAAGATAATACTAAACAGCTACATGAGTAGTGACCGCAGCAAATTTGCGATTTTTCAAGATTTGTTTTGTTGATGTAGGAGCCAGTGTATAATGTGAGAGAGAATATATATATTAGGTCGTTTCAAAAGTAATTTCGCTTTTGCTTTTTGAGATGGTCAAGTTTCACAATTTTTTAAAACTTTCATATCAACCCTCATAAGAAGTTTAAGTGACGATTCGATAGAGCAAAGCTCAGAGCGAAGATTGAAGCCAAAAATGAAAAAGATTCTAGCGCCCCAAAAAAAAAGAAAAAATTAGAAGTCCGTTCAGAAAATTTTTTGAAAATTCCTATTGCTCATGCATTGTCATTTCGTATAAGACATTACTCTATGCAGTTGCTGTATTTTTCTCTCAGCTAGAAATTGAGAAAACGAAGTTTTTCACGTTTTTTTCCAAAACAATGCTGCGATGTTCTAGCACTGACAGTTGTATACTATAGTACCTTAGAAGCTTGAGTGTGAATTTTCAGCTTTTACAGCAGCTGGTTTACGAGAAATATTGAATTTTTGGCAACACTAGTTGTTCTGGAAGGCTGAAAATGTAAAGTTTCACTATTGATGGCATGTACTATACAACTGTTAGTGCTAGAACATCTCAGCACTATTTTGGCAAAAACTTGAAAAACTTCGTTTTCTCATCGTTCAGCTGAGAGAAAAATACAGCAACCTCGTAGATAGATGTCTTACGTGGAATGTCTACGCGTGAGCAAGAAAGAAATTTTGTAGGAGCTTTCTGAACGAAGTTACAATTTCATTTTGATTGGTCTTAAGCTTTTCGGACGCATGACTTTCTTCAGTTTTCGGCTCAAAACTTCGTGTAGATCAAAGCTGGTGTACAGGGCTTTTCAACCTGAGAGTCGCAAGTTTCGCATGCGCGGCTCCTCCAACGCGGCCGCCTCGCTCAGGCCGCGCGCGGCGTTTGCTGCGTATCGCCCGGATTTCGCCAAGCTTCAGTCGACGCGCAGCCAGCGCCACGAACGCTGCGCGGACCTAAGCGTGGCGTCCTAGCGGGGCGGGTGGGACACTCAGGTTGTAAAGCCCTGTAGATATTTGAGCACTATCTTGTAGAGCTAGGTTTGCGCTATCTAATGATGTATCGAGTCCCACTTGGAATATAGGATTATCCCAAGTTATTGCGGTCTGTACCTATTTTGGTGCAGGAATTATGCATCAATCTAATATATTAGGTCGTTCCGAAAGTAATGTCGCTTTTTTCAAATGAACGACACATTCCATAGAATCAAGTTTTTCAAGAGTTCTTGGGAGCGTTCGATGCAGCATTTCGTCCTCTTTCTAACGGCTATAATCTCCTTGCATAATATTCAATAAGCTTTCGAAAAATTACCAAAGTCTGCGACTCATGCTTTTTGCCATGATCAAGTTCGGCTATTTTTCTAAATTTTTGTACGTATTCTCTGAAGAAGTACAAGTGACGGGTAGATAGAGCAAACCCCATGGGACACAAATTAATTTTTTTCTTTTCCTTAGCTTGCATCTTAGAGTTTCTGGAATCAATTTTTAAATGCCATCAAATTCCATATTTGGTCAACTCAAACCTCACAGAACAACAAGTGGCAAGCAGCTCGGGTGTCATTAGACGCAACTTTTTCTCCTCTTTCTATCAGTTGTTTTTTGTTTCCGATTCATCAAGTTTTCCGGGATAAAATCATCGTAATTCAGGTTTTCCAGGGTGCCCCAGGCTGCACACGGAAATTTCGAAAGTTGCTAATCTGAAGCGGTGAATGCTCATTTGGTCTGTAGACTTGGTGTCAAATCATAATCCATCTTTGTAAGTTTCGAAATCCGAAGATCTATCAATGTTTGATACATTTGTGTTTGAGAAGAGCCTGCTAAAATTTGGTGGTTCCATCAAAAAATCTATACCAAAATTATGACGAATTTTGGAAAGCAGAAAAAAGTTGTGCTGTTTCCTGTAGGGTTTGCTCTATTCATCTATTACTTAGACTCCTTCCGAGAATTGTTATAAAAATTTAGAAAAATTGTGAAATTGGCCTTCCCAAAAAACATGGGTCGCAGATCTTGGTAAATTTTCGAGAAGTTATTGAATTTTGTGCAGTGCTTATATATCCATTAAAAAGAGAATAAAATGCTGCATCAGATGCTATCAAAATCTCTTACATATCTCTGTTCCGCGAGATGTGGCGTACGTTTGAAAAAAGCGACATTACTTTCGGAACGACCTAATATTAGGTTGAACCGAAAGTTCTGTCGCACCATTTTCAAAAAATCATAACTTCTTTCGGTCACGACGATTTTGCGCAATTCAAATTTCATCTGAAAGCGTAAAGCATGTAGTTTCCAAAAGCTCTCTGGGTAGTTTCCGACATGCTCATGTGGCAGAGATAAAAATGAAAGAACGAGATCATCCGAAATTCGGAATTTTTAAGCAAGAATTCTAGAAATTCAGAAACGTGCGATAAAATCCAGAAAAGCCATTATCCTAAATTTTCTTACATTTGATTACTATCTGAGTCAAGTTTGTGCTGATCGAGCCCTTTTTACAAAAGTTATGATTTTTTGAAAAATAATGCCAAAAAATCCGTTTCTTAAGAATTCTTAGAAAATTGATTTTTCGGTATTATTTTTCAAAAAATCATAACTTTTGAAAGAAGGGCTCGATCAGCACAAACTTGACTCAGATAGTAATCAAATGTAAGAAAATTTAGGATAATGGCTTTTCTGGATTTTATCGCACTGTTTCTGAATTTCTAGAATTCTTGCTTAAAAATTCCGAATTTCGGATAATCTCGTTCTTTCATTTTTATCTCTGCCACCTGAGCATGTCGGAAACCCTTCAGAGAGCTTTTGGAAACTACATGCTTTACGCTTTCTGATAAAATTTGAATTGCGCAAAATTGTCGTGACCGAAAGAAGTTATGATTTTTTGAAAATGGTGCGACAGAACTTTCGGTTCAACCTAATATATTAGGTTGTAACAAAATTAATGCAGGTTTTGGATTCCAACCGCAATAAGTTATATACTTCTCATTTCTAAGTAGGTTGCAAGGTACTGTTCGATAGAGCAAAGCAAGCTCTACAAGGTGGCATTCTTGCTTTAGCAACAACTCTGATCCACCACGAGTTTCGAGCCGAAAAGTAAAAAGATTCAACTGTCCAAAAAATTAAGAAAAATCGTAACTCAGTTCATAGAAAAACCTACAAAAATTCTAACTTGTTCACGTAAACACTATTCAAATAAGACATTTATACACGCCTTTGCCATATTTTTTCTCTGTTAGAAATCAAGTAAACGGAAATTTTCGTGCATTTGCCAAAGTGTTGCTGTGCCGTTCCCACATAATTAGTTGTATGCTACACATCTGTAGAAGTACAAACGTAAATTTTCAGCTCTCTATAAGCTTTAGTTCTCGAGAAATTTGAATTTTAGCTTGGAACACCTGACTAGGGAAAACTGTATCCGATATTTCTCGAGAACTAAAGCTTATAGAGAGCTGGAAATTCACGTTTGCACTTCTACAGGTTTGTAGTGTACAACTACTTATGTGGGAACGGCATAGCATCACTTTGGCAAACGCACGAAAATTATCATTTCTTAATTTCTAACAGAGAAGAAATACGGCAAAGGCGTGTATAAATGTTTTATATGAATAGCGTTTACGTGAGCAAGTTAGGATTTTTGTAGGTTTTTTATGAACTGAGTTACGATTTTTCTCAATTTTTCGGGCAGTTGAATCTTTTTAGTTTTTGGCTCGAAACTCGTGGTAAATCAGGGCTGTTGCTAAAGCAGGATAGCCATCTTGTAGAGCTTGCTTTGTTCTATCGAACAGCACCTTGCAACCTACTTAGAAATAAGAAGTGTATAACTTATTGCGGTTGGAATCCAAAACCTGCATTAATCCTGTTACAACCTAATATATATATATATATATATATATATATATATATATACAGGGTGTCCCAAAATAATGTGCACACTGTTTGATTTTGAATAACTCTCTTATTATGAGGTCTTTCGAGAAGCGGTAGGCGCCATTTTGTAGAGCTGGCTTCAACTTAGATATACAGTATAGAGCGAATCACCGACCGCCATTCATTACTGTAGGATTATGGTAGAAACTTGGAACATATGGTGTCACTGTGGAAAAAAGCTGCCGCTTCAAAAATTTTCAGAAAAATGTGAAAACTTGTGTAATAGGGTTTTTGGGAACGCTGAGTTCAATACTCAACTATTTTCAAGATTGCGAAGCTTTCTAAACGGTGTAGCCGCACTTTTTTGGAACATTGAGAAAATGGCCGCTATGCTTATCTCGCATAACTCTTCAGTGAAGCATCATAATAAGTTGGGAACTTTACAGTTAGAATCAGTAACTCTAATTGGCCTAGCGTAAAAGTTTTCAGGCTGTTTTGTTTCCTTTCTGAGGCAAAATATGGCCTTTCATGGTCCAAAACCCTCTTTCAAGTTTCTACCGTAATCCTACAGTAATGAAGAGCGGTCGGTGATTCGTACTATACTGCAAATCTAAGTTGAAGCCAGCTCTACAAAATGGCGCTTACCGCTTCTCGAAAGACCTCATGATAAGAGAGTTATTTGAAATCAAACAGTGTGCACATTATTTTGGGACACCCTGTATATTAGGTTGGTCCGAAAGTTCGTTCGCACAATTTTCAAAAAATCATAACTTCCTTTCCTCACAATGATTTTGCGCAATTCAAATTTTATTAGAAAGCGTAAAGCATGTAGTTTCCAACGGTCCCCTAATTACCTTTCAGCATGTTCAGATTGCAGAGATAAAAATAAAAAAACGAGAACATCCGAAATTCGGAATTTTTGAGCAAAAATTCTAAAAATCTAGAAACTGCGCGATAAAATCCAGAAAAGCCATTGTCATAATTTTTCTTATATTTGATTACTAACAGAGTTAAGTTTGTGCTGATCGAGCTCTTCTTTCAAAAGTTATGATTTTTTGGAAAAA